GCGGGCAATGCTGAAAGACCGCCTCTCCTTTGTGAACTCTTTGAGCCCGGCCTGTGTCCCAAAGTAGTTCCGCCTTATCTTCACCGTTAATATCCAACCATGTTCTACCACAGGCCCAGGCTGAGCTGCCCCTAGGGGTACCACAGGCAGGCTTCCTCAACTTTCTCAGTCTCTCCGTATTCGTATTCATTGGTTTGGGTTTTGTTGGTCGGTGGATTGGTTGGTTGGTTGGTTGGTTGGTTGGTTGGTTGGTTTTTATTGAGATAAGGTTTCTCTGTGTAGTTCTGGCTGTCCTAGAACTTGCTCTGTGGACCAGGCTGGCTCGAACCCAGAGATTCACCTGCCTCTGCCTCCTGAGTGCTGAAATTAAAGGTGCAGAATGCCACTGCCCGGCTTGTTTACTGTTGCCGTGACAAAATGCTGACCGAAACCAACCTGAGGAGGAATAGGTTTACTTAGCTTAAAGATCACAGTCCATCACTGAAGGAAGCAGGGCAGGAACTCAAGGCTGAAACCAAGAGGCAGGAGCTGATGCAGAGACCATAGAGTCACACTGCTCATAGCTTGCTCGGCCTGCTTTCTTCGCCAACCCAGTAGCCCAGGCTGGCACCGCCCACAGTGGGCTGGGGCTCCCCACATCAGTCATTAAACAAGAAAACGCCCCCACAGGCTTGCCTACGGGCCAATCCGAAGGAGGGACTTTTCTCATCTCCTCAGATGACTCGCTCTAGTTTGCGCTCTAGTTTGCGTCAAGTTGGCAAAACCAAGCAGTACACTCCCTAGGTAGCATCTTGTCGCTTAGCAACCAGAACAAATCAAAGCTCTTCCCTCTGGACCCAAGACTCTTCATAAAACATACTAGGCATTACTGATTGTCAGGGAAATGCAAATTAAAACTGCAATGAAATAGACTCCATTTCATGCTGATTAGAATCCAAAACAAAAACCTGACAACGGCAAGTGTTGGTGAGAAAGCGGAGCAACTAGAAGTTTCCTGAGCTGCTTTCTGTTGCGTGAAATGATAGAATTTCTTTGGGAAACTGCTGTTTTCTTATAACATTAAATATAAACCCACCTGTTGCCCACTTCTGGGGCTCTAGCTAAGGAAAACAAGGACACATTTCTAGGAAGATGTATGCAAAAATGGCCACAGCAATTCTCGTCACGATAACCAGACATCTGTGAATGTAACAGAAGGCTATATAAAACAAGGTCTATCTGTGCATTGACCATGATTCCATAGTAAAAACAAGAACTGTTTTACTTTGTACACAAAACAACGTGGGTACAAAGACAGGCACAAAACCATGACAGAGCCTCAGAAAACAAATGTAGACAATGTGAGAGAAATGAGAACAGCCGCTGCCTTTGCCTGGCTGGCTGAGTGACAGCAAGAGGCTGCTCTTGGGAGCGGGGGTTATTTGCGTGGATTCTTTTGTCAAAGTCCAGTGAGGTGCGGTCTTAGGACCTGTGAGTTTCCCTGCACGTGACTTTTACTCCAGAACCCTTCAAACTCATTTCATTCTCAGCTTCTCCCCATCCCTGCCGTTTTTCTCTGACCTCTCACTCTGACTCCTTCCTCTCTCCTCTTCTTCCAGAGTATTAGGATCAGGGAAGGAGAGAGAGACAGAGACAGACAGACAGACAGACACGCACAGAGAGGGAGAGAGGGAGTTACAGATGGTTTTTGAGCTGCCATGTGGGTGTTGGAATTGACCCCAGGTCTTCCAGAAGAGCAGCCAGTGCTCTTAACCACTGAGCCACCTGTTCAGCTGGACATTTTCCATTGAAACCACCACAACCACAGATGTGGCATGGAAAGGATAAGTTGTTTAAGGCATGGTTTAGTCCTGGGGTAAGGCACAGGAAGTCCCCCAAGCCACCACTCCTTTCTTCGCCACACTCCACAAGTCAGCCCTCTCCCCTCTCCTGCTCACAGGCGCTATCATACTTGCATTCCCAAACCCCTGCTTCCATACGAGGCATCAAGGGAAACTTTAAGAGTGTTCCGGAAACTTGGGAAGAGTGACATTTGTACCGTCCAGCTGTTATTGGGGCTGGTAGGCATTGCTTTTGTGATTAATGGCATCAGCTGTTGTTCTTATATCAAGTTGCTACTCTGACTTGTCCTGGGGTTTTGAAGAAATCAAAGCCCCTCATCAGGGCAGCACCCTACACCGAGGTAACCCCACTCTGCCCTATACAATTCCAGACTCTCCTCAAACATATTCTTCACCGGTGGCTTTTTAAGGCAGTAATGTCAGTGTGTTCTGTAGACTGACAGTTCTATGCATCCATGGGACAGATCTGTGTGTGTCATTACCTGGGCTACCACGCCTTCATTTTTAATGACCGCCTGACCTGTGCCAAGAGAGACATGCCCCCAGCAATTTATCCTGTGGTTTCTCTCGCCAGCCCGTGATCCTGCATCTTCAGCCACCTCCATTAGAAAGCGCCAAGGGTTAGCCTATTAAAGCTCTTCATTAAAAACAGAAAGGCTGGGCATCTGCAACCCTCCTGAGTGCAGGCCAGTGTCCCCATCCTGTCCCTGTGTAGCAAACAACCTCTCCTTAGCCCATCAGGCCAAGGACTCTTCCTGGTAGACATCTTTGGTTTAAGGCTATGCTGCTTTAAAAAAGAAAAAAAAAAAAAAAACAGGAGAAAATGTTGATAACGTTTGCGAGGCTCAGTGACAAAATGAGACAGAGCCCTTGATTTCTAACCTCCCGCTGCACCGTTCAAAATTCCTCCCAGAGAGCCAGGCAGGAAGCAAAGCGAATTGCTCTGATTGTAAAATTTGCATCCTTTCTTGGCTGGGTACCTTCTTCCCAAAGGATGCTTCACATCACGCTGTAGTTGTTTGTAAAGATCTTTCACCCACGACAGACCACTTCTCATGATACTGCTGATGTGGAGGCAAGAGAAACACAAAGGGAGAATTAAAAATACTGAGAGTCCCCAGGAAGAAATGGAAATGCATTTCAGGGCAGCGGCTGTCAGCCCCCAAACTCTGGATGGATGATGTGGATCAGAGCCCCAGTTAAGTAAATAATAGGAAAAACAGCAGCGACACAAGAGAGAGCTGAAAGATGGTCGTTAGCGAGAGGCATTTGTTCAACAGGCTTTTGGGGAATACAGATAATGAGCTAGGCACAGCACTACGCCCAACAGTCAGACACACTCTCTACACACAAGGAGCCAACAGTTCTAAGACGAGAGACAAAGATGCCAGCACTCGTTGGAAACGCAGTGATAGGGTTTTGTGATGAGGGCCCTGCTTGATCCTGTACTCATAAAGCAAAGAACAATACAGACACACCCCTTTGCCCTGGTGGTGTGAGGAAGGCTTCCCAGAGGAAGAGGAAAGGAAGGTAGGAAGTTGGAGGCCATGCCAGTCAGTCCCTAGAACGAGTGCACACACAGACACCAGGGCAGGTAACCATAGGATGATCCTAGGACAGAGAGAATGGAAAGCTGGCAGGAGAAGCCTTGGCAGGGGAAGCTGTGTCCCGGGGTAAAGGTCAGGGCCCTAACAGCTGTGGATCCACCGACTCATCACAGCACAAAGACTCTTTCTGGGTGGCATGGAACTCGGTAGGCTGAAAGTGGACAAATTGGGAGATTCCGGAACATTCTAGAAGAAAACGGGGTGGGGGTCTCAAAAGGCAGAGACGGCGGGGATGGTGAGAAGAGGGTGTTCAAGTGACTGTGTCACCAGACAGGTTGAGAGACTAGTCATAGTGGGGGGAGGAGAGAGGCGGAGAGAGAAAAGGCAAAGGGCAGAAACAGGCCCTGCCCTGGGGATGCTAAAATGACTGGAAGGGGCAGACATGGGGGAAATAGAGGGAGCGAATGTGGGAACCGACACAGGAAGCAGACACAGGAGGACAAAGGAACGTGTGTCTCCTGTTGGCGGCAAGGGAGGGAGTTCCTGAAAGCACCGCCAGTGGAGCCGGGTGGATGGAAGGGGTGGAGGACAGCCGGTGCGCAAGCTGTCATCTTCAGTCAGCTGGAGTATGGAAAGGTAGCAATGTCCGGACAGTGGGTCAGACTAGTCTGGATCCAGGCCCTGGGGGACAAGCTGGGGCAGCTGGAAGAGGGTCTGTGGCGAATTCCCACCCCAACCCGCTCGGTTAGCACACTACTTTTCCTGCCAGAGGGCCAGGCTGCCCGATCTAACACGGCCCAACAGCTACCGGGGAAAGGGGAATGTTAGCAGTGCTCCCAGGGGACAGAAGAGAGGCCGAGGAAGCTGCTCTCCTGTCACAATAGGTGTCCGGAGCGGAAAGCAGGCTTGAGTCCAGCTGGTGAGCCTAGAGACAGCAGACTCTGCCCTCCTTGAGGGAAGATGGGGGAAGAAGCAGTCTCCCATGGGACTCAGAAACCCCTCCCGCCCCCGCCCCGCCCCCGCCCCGCCCCCACCCCGAGAGACTGGAAACGTGGACACAGCCAAAGCTGAGCAGTTTGGTCAAGAGGGAAGGGATCAGGACAAGCAGAGCTTCATGTGTAGGCATGGGGTACTTCTGCCGGATGCTTCCATCGCAGAAGACTCCGGTGCCTGAGTCAGTGTCCTGAGGCCAAGGATGAAGCCCCACCTCAGCCCCAGGCAGGGGCAATGCAAGGCTCGCCTTGCACCTTCCCTAAGGTCAGCCCTTCCCAGGAAAGACGACAGCCTGATCAGAGGGACCCTCTCTACACCTAACCTCCAGGCTTCACCAAATCCGGACAAAGTCCGAGGGGCCAGCACCCTGACCCATGTCACGTGGACGTTACCTTCCCAAATAGCACCGAGCAGTTGCCACTCTCATCCTAGATCTAAGTGCTCACAAAATGTTCCTATTCATTCGGGGATCCTTGGACCCCGGGTTTGCCACAGTCTCGGCTCTGCCGCAGAGGGCGGCCTTGGCCCTGGAGAATGAAGCCCTGGCTCTGGCTGGCTCACCCGCCGGGTGGGCAGCGGCTGGCGAAGCGCGCCGGTGACCGCTTCGGCCTCCCCGCAGGTGCGCTCGGGCGCTGCTGGAGCACGGCGCGACAGTGCAGCTGGAGTGCGGCCCGGGCCGAGACACGCCGCTGCACGTGGCGGCCCGGCGCGGCCTGGACGGGCACGCGCAGCTCTACCTGGGCCGCGGCGCGCTCGTGGACGCGAGGAACGGCCGCGGCGAGACGGCCCTGAGCGCAGCGTGCGGGGCGGCCCCGCGGAGCGCCGACGAGCACGCGCGCGGCCTGCGCCTCTGCGCGCTCCTCCTGCGCGGCGGCGCGGCGGCGGACGCGCGCGACGAGG